CAACTAAACCTTATATTATTCTCCTCCACTGCAATGGGTGAAGATACACTGGGGGAACTAAGATAACCAAATAGTTGGGAGTTCAAACCCATTGCCCAGGAGAAAGATGAGGCTTTCTGCTCCCATAATGACCAACAGCTTCAGAAACCATACACAGGGTCACTATGAGTCAGAATGGACTGGATAGCAGTGTGGATTCTAATGGGTGGACCACAGTTAATTCAATGATTAAGTCATGAGCCTTCATATTCATACACAACTCCAAATTGTTCATTCTCCTCACATCTGTGACTCTGCATTTCCTCTCCATAGCATCAAATCTAAACTTCAAACTGAGGGCTATTTTGAACCTCCTGGGCACCTGTAAGTGGACCTCTTTTACTGCCTTTCCTTTCAATTCCCCACCTCAGCTGATTGCCATCCACACCTTTGGCCCAACCATTCAAATGCTGCTCCACACACTAATTCTACTGTAGTTAAAAATACAGACTCCCCCTAGAGTTTCTAATGAAGTACATAGTCTCAACACGAAAGTTCTTACTTAATTGGAATGCATTAGGGCCTGGATACTGAACAGCAAGGTAAGCAGTTCAAGCTCACCAACAGCTTCCTGGTAACCCTATACAGGGTGGCTATGAGTCAGAACCGACTTAACAGCACTTAACAACAACTGATAATCTTTAAAAGCCCTTCCCCCTCCTCCCCCAGCCAGGTGATTCTTCACATCAAAAATTGAAAACCAGTGTTCCAGGAGAGGGTCTGAGAATTAGGACTTTAACATACTACACCAAGGCAACTGGGGTCCAGTCAGATTAAAGACCACTTTTAGGCACTTTCTGCCTAGAATGGATTTCTCTCATATTATCGATTGGCTTTAGGATCTATCAGGGGCTAGTCCTTTTCAGCATCCTTTCCCTCACTCCTACACCTTTCTTTTAAACTTCCAGGATATATTCCCAAACTCATCATCCTTACTTAAGATCATCATAACATGGCCTCCTATTTATGTTAGTGAGCTCTCCCTCTAACTTGTTTTTTACACTCTCATAAATGCAACTCGATGCTTTCGCAAAAAAGTCACTATTGTAAGGCCACTTTAATTGTCATTAACTCAATCTAGAAAGAGCTAAAGAATCACTGAAATGGTTCAAAATAAAAAAGTTAGGTTCCTAAGTAAACCCCTTTGTTGTTAGGTGCCATCAAGTCAGCACTGACTTATAGCAGCCCTCCATACAACAGAACGAAACACTGCCAACCTCCTGGGCCAACCTCACAATTGTTGCCATGCTTGAGCCCATTGATGCTGCCATTTTACCAATCCATCTCGCTAGGGGTCTTCCTCTTTTTCTCTGACCCTCCACCTTACCAAACATGATATCCTTCTCCAGTGACAATATGTCTGAAGCATGAGAGATGAAGTTTGGCCATCCTGGCCTCCAAGGAGCACCCTGGCTGCACTTCTTCCAACACGATCTGTTGGTTCTTTTGGCAGCCCATGGCACTTTCAATATTCACCTCCAACACCATAACTCAAAAGTATCAATTCTTCTATGGTCTTCCTTATTCACTGTCCAGCTTTCGTGAGCATATGAGGTTATTGAAAATACCATGGCTTGGGTCAGGTGCACCTTAGTCCTCAAGCTGACTTCTTGGCTCTTCAACACTTCAAAAAGGTCTTGTGCAGCAGATTTGCCTAATGCAATATGTTGTTTGATTTCTTGACTGCTGCTTCCATGAGTGTTGATAGTGGATCCAAAAAGAATGAAGTCCTTGACAACTTCAATCTTTTCTCCTTCGATAAGAATGTTGTTTACTGGTCCATTGGTGAGGAGTTTTGTTTTCTTTGCATTGAGATGCAATCCATACCGAAGGCTGTGCTCTTTGATCTTCATCACTAAATGTTTCAAGTCCTCTTCACTTTCAGCAAGCAAAATTGTATCATCTGCATATCACAGGTTGTTAATAAGTCTTCCTCCAATCCTGATGCCACGTTTTTCTTCATATAACTCAGCTTCTCAGAATATTTACTCCACATACAGGTTAAATAAGTATGGTGGAAGAATACAAGCCTGTCGCACACCTTTCTTAATTTTAAACCATTCAGCGATCCCATGTTCTGTTCGAACAACTACCTCTTGGTCCATGTACAGATTCCTCATGAGCACAATTAAGTGTTCCGAATACTAATACTTTGCAATGTTGTCCACAGCTTGTCATGATTCACACAATCGAAAGCCTTTGCATAGTCAATAAAGCACAGGGAAACATCCTTCTGGTAGGAGGTCTATTTAATCAATTAAGTTAAGTGCTTTCAAGCTAGCTCTGACTCATAATGAATCTGTATAGGTTTTCCAAGGAGCTGAAGTGTTTGAACTGCCGATCTTGAGGTTAGCAGCCCAGTGATTATCCTACAGTGCCACACCAGGACTCCATTTAATCAATGTTATTGTTAAGTGCCGTCAAGTCAATTCCAATACACAGCAATCCTTATAGGGTTTCCGAGGAGTGGTTGGTGAGCTTGAACCACAGACCTTACATTCCAGCGCATTAACCCTCAGCATCACACCAGGACTCCATTTAATCAATAAGGAGGCTAGAAAATTAGAGGTCACAAGCTTTCTCTCCCCGCCTTCCCTCCTCATCATTAGAGCCTTCTCTACTCACTGGTGAGCTCAAGTCATTACCCTGTCTATGTTGTTGTTGTTAAGTGCCGTCAAGTCGGTTCCAACCCATAGCGACCCTGTATAGGATTTCCGAGTAGCAACTGGTGAGCTTGAACAGCCAACCTTGCAGTTCAAACGGCTTTGCAGTCTGACGCATTAGCCCACAGCACCAGGACTGTCTATACTGGCGTTCTAATCCTTGGCAAGGACCATACATGTATTTTCTTGACTTAGATGTTTTACCACTAATTCAGTTCACTCTAGATCTGAAAATCTTTCCTCTGACAAATACAATACACATGCCGCCATCACTAAGTCCCTCCTCTGCTCCTTGCTCTTGCTGAAAAACCTGGGAGGAAAAATGCCTTTCCCTCCTGTCACAACTCAAAGTATAAAGAATTGGTGCTAATGACTAACCTTTGTCAATTCAAAAAGCTATAAATTCTGAAGTTAAACTGTCATTTTAATGAACAGTCCTACCAACCCTTAAGGAACTTGCTGGGCACCAGAAACTGCCTTCAGAATCTTGGGTTTTTCTATTCTTCCTCATCCTCTTGTAAACCGATGTCTTATCAGGGTTTAAGATCATTGTTTAACTCTACTGTGGTTGTCTAGAAGTACAAGTTCAAAAATCTTTATTCACAACTCCAAAATGCTATAAAGCTCTTAAAACAGAAAGGTTTCTTTAACCCGTCTTGTTATAAAACATGACCTGACCTGAACTCTTTACTAATAAACCTGCCATAAGTCTTATTATCGTGACCATACATCTAAGATACTTGATTATGGGAAACTGGCTCAGATAGCACATAGAATATATGGTCTATCTACTATGCTCTTTCTAACATCTGCAAAACTCTGGATTTCAGGCTCTAAGAATATCAGATAATGGATTGTAGACCTCTAGCCACAACGGTGTCAATTTCTGTAAGCACTCATTCCAAACCTTCAGTTTCTCAGTTACATAGATGAATTGGTTTTGGGGGAGGGGGGAGTGCTTGTTTGAGGAAGTAAGCCCATTCATAAAACTAGTTTCTGTGAGTATATGCTTTCATTGTTGTACATACCTAGCACTTAGGTTGTGTTCAAACAGTTGATTTCTATTTGTGTGTGAGACAAGAACTTCCTAAATATACTGGGAAAGCTTACAGTACCATGGGGTCTTGAAGCAGTTGGGTGACAGACACATTTTCTCAAAACGTTTCCCAAAATAATCCCTAACCTCAGCTCCACTTTGCCCATCAACTGTAGCAGCAGGTTTAAATGTGTGTCATTTTACTACTGTCCACAATTCGCTGCACAGATCTAAAGAGCTTGTTCTAATCATTTCCAGTTGCTGTCACAGTCTTTTGACAGTTTTTAAAAGCCTACTGAATTATATTCCTGATACATATTTTTAAGAGTGAGCTATTTTAGTAAGTTCTTAGTCATCTATGGGAGGCTTTAAGAAGTGAATTACAAGGAGGAATAAGGGAAATGTACAACGTTCACTTAACTTTTACTATTTTGTCAAGCACAGCTGCATGACATGTCATGGTCTTCATGTACCAAACCAAACTCTCATAAAGTATTTAAATATAACACCAAGTAGAAATCCAAAATCAGAAGTTAATTTTGTGTTCCAAAGTAACCAGTCACAACCGCCAGTAAAAATAGGGATAGGAATAGGGGCGGGGACAGAGGAGGCTGTCCCATTACATCATCTGGTGAAATGTAGTTTGAAGCCTGAGAGCGCTCTCCAAAGAACCCTTCTGAAAACCCAGCTTGGAAAATCATCCCTGTCAAGTTTAGTTAACTTGAAATTAAATACAAGGGTAAAAAAGCCTTTCCCCCGAAGTCACATGTTTGTACCATATGAAGCACAAAACCATCACTGATACATCTACCTCCCACTCCTCTGACAGCGACAGAAAGGTCTCAATTAAGTGGAAAGTCGCCACAGAGTCTGTTCAACCTGAAGGGGGAAGGGAAGAGCAGGCGGGCACCTCCCTCCACTCCTGCCTGGCTGACACCTTAGATTCATGCAGCAAATAATGCCCACTCCAAGGTGCAGGTCATTTTCTATGAGAAAGTGGGGCCAGATAAATAGAAATCAACCCAAATCATCTGGCGGACCCCCCCGCCCCACGCCCGGTTTATATCCCCAGGGTGGAAGGTGCTGCTCTAGAAGTGTGCGGGCTAATCAATGAGGCACAACTCTTTTATTTCGGCCTAGATAGGGCAGCCGGAGTGTGTCTCCCTTGGTGGTCTGGGATCCCCAGGAGACTTCGGCCTTCGGACACCCCTCGCCCTCTCTCCCAATGCCCGCCGTCGGGGCGGCCCCCGCCCCGCACCTACCGCAGTCGCGCTGGCGCCTGCTGACACGATGGGCGGCAGCTTCTCACGCTCCGGCTCCTTTCCTTTCTTCTCCTCGGGTGCGGCTGCCGCC